GTCAATAAAATTATATAAACTGATAAACAAGAGGAAAAAGCTAGAATGGGGGACAATAAACAGAACAAAGCAACCAAGAGCTGAAGGAAAATATCAAATGTTATACATGGAATCTCAGAAGGAACAGAGAAAAAGAATATGAGATAGAGAAATATTCAAAGAAATAATGGCCAAGAGTTTCATAAAATTAGTGCCATATGTCACGCCACAGATCTAAGAAGCTCCGAATACACCATGAAGGATAAATACCAAAACCAAAACAAAGCAAACTCCACTCTTACACATATCATATATGCATTAGTTTCCTAGGGCTACCATAACAAAATATTACAGACTGGGTAGCTTAAATAACAGAAATTTATTTCTCACAGTTCTGAATGCTGCCTATTCAAGATCAAGGTGCTGGCAGGGTTGATTTCTTCTGTGGAATCTCCTCTTGGCTTGTACATGGCTGTATCTGTATCTGTCCATGGATGTCATCCATGATGTCTTTTTTTGTGTGTCGAAACTTTCTCTTATAAAGACACCAGTCAGATTGGATTAGGGGCCACCATATCAGCCTCATTTTGACTTAATCACCACTTTAAAGGCCATATCTCCAAATACAGTCACATTCTGAGGTTAGGACTTCAACATATGAATTATGGAGGGACACAATTCAGTCTATACCAAAGTCAAACTTCTGGAAACCAAAACCAAAGAAAAAATACACAGAGAAGGGACACCTGAATGCATCGGTTGATTGAGCATCAGACTCTTGATTTCAGCTCAGGTCATGCTCTCGTGGTTCATGAGATAGAGCCCCACATTAGGTTCTGTGCTGACAGTGGGCAGAGTCTGCTTCTGATTCTCTCTCTCTCTCTCTCTCTCTCTCTCTCTCTCTCTCTTTCTTTCTTTCTCTCTGCCCTGCCCCAGCTTGTGCTCACTCTCTCTCAAATAAATAAATAAACTTTAAAAAAATTTTATAAAGAATAAAATACATAGAGGAAAACTAAAATCACCTCCAGAAGAAAAAGGATAAGAATTACAGTGGGCTTTTTCTCCCAGAAACCATGCAATAAGAAGACAGTGGAGTGACATATTTAAAGTGCTGAAATTTGAGCCTCGCATGGGGCTCTGTGCTGACAGCTCAAAGCCTGGAGCCTGTCTTCAGATTCTGTGTCTCCCTCTTTCTCTGACCCTCCCCTGCTCATGCTGTCTATCTCTCTGTCTCAAAAATAAATAAAACATTAAAAAATTAAAGTGCTGACAGAAAAACTGTAATATAGTTTGAAATTAGGAAGTGTGATGCTTCCATCTTTATTTTTCCTTCTCAAGATTGCTTTGGCTATTCAGAGTTTTTGTGGTTCCATACAAATTTTAGGATTTCAGTGAGAATAGGCATCTTTATCTATTCCTGATCTTAGAGAAAAAGCTTCCATCTTTTTACTGTTGAGCATAATGTTAACTATGAACCTTTATTATATTGAGGTACGTTTCTTCTATACCAATTTGTCAAGAGTCTTTTTTTAAAATCAAAAGTATGGATATTTACCCTTCATTCTGTTAATGCAATATATCATGTTTATTGACTTGCAAATGGTGAATCATCCTCAAAACCCAGGGATAAAGTCCACCTGATCATGGTGTATGATGTTTTTGATGTGCTGCTGAAGTCAGTTTGCTAGTATTCTGTTAATAATTTTTGCATCTATGTTCATTAGGAGTACCAGCATGTAATCGTTTTTTTTTTTTTTTATGATAGTGCCTTTATCTAGCTTATAATGAGAGTAAAGCTGGTCTTGTAAAATAAGTTTGGAATTGTTTCCTCCTCTTCAGTTTTTTGGAAGAAATTGAGGAAGATTGGCATTATTCCTCTTTAAGTGTTTGGTAGAACTCACCTGTGAAGCCATCAGGTCCTGGACATTTTTTTGGATGCAGTTTTTGATTACTTCTTCAATCTCCTTAATCATTATTGGTTTCTTCAGATTTTCTATTCTTTCTGAGTCAGCCTTGGTAGGTTATATGTTTTTAGAATTTTATCAATTTCTTCTAAATTATCCAATTTGTTGGTATATGATTTTTTTGCCAATTCTATCTATTCATTTTAATTGAAGTATATTTGATACACAATGTTACATTAGTTTCAGGTGTACAACATAGTTATTTAACTAGTTGATATGTTATGCCATGCTCACCAGAAGTATAGCTACCATCTGTCCCCATACATTGCTATTACAATATCTATTGACTATATTCTTTATGCTGCAACTTTTATTCCTGTGACTTATTCATTACATGACTGGAAGCCTGTATCACTCTCTTTCAGCCATTTACCCAACCTTCCACTACCCTTACCTCTGGCAACCATGAGTTCTCTGTATTTATGGGTCTGCTTTCTGCTTTTTGTTATGCATTTGTTTTGTTTTTTCAGGTTCCACATATAAGTGAAATCATATGGTATTTATCTTTCTCTGACTTATTTCACTTAGCATAATACCTTCTAGGTCCATTCATGTTGTCACAAATGGGAAGATCTCATCCTTTTTTGTGACTGAGTGATATTCTATTGTGTATGTATACTATATCTTCTCTATCCATTCATCCAACTTTGGTTGGCTCTATATCTTGGGTATTATAAATAATGCTACAGTAAACATAGGGATGCATGTATCTTTTCAAATCAATATTTTCCTTTTCTTTGTATAAATACCCACTAGTGGAATTAGTGGATTATATGATATTTCTATTTGTAATTTTATGAGAAACCTCCAGACTGTTTTCCCCAGTGGCTGTACCAATTTACAATCCCATCAACCGTGCCACAATGATTCCTTTTTCTCCAAGTCCTTACTAACACTTATTTCTTGTCTTTTGATTTTAGCCATTGGAACAGGTATAAGGCGGTATCTCATTGTGGTTTTGGTTTCCAGAAGTTTGATTTTGGTATAGACTGAATTGTGCCCCCCCAAAATTCATATGTTGAAGTCCTAAGCCCAGGTTCCTCAGAATGTGACTTTATTTGGAGATATGGCCTTTAAAGCAGTTATAGTTAGTGATGTTGAGCTCCTTTTCATGTGCCTGTCTTATTGGCATTGTTCATTATATTCTTTTACTATCTTTTGTACTTCTGTGGTATCAGTTGTAATGTCTCCTCTTTCATTTATAATTTTGTTGATTTGAGTCTTCTCTCCATTGTTCTTAATCTAGCTTAAGTTTTGTCAATTTTGTTTATCTTTTTGAAACAAACTATCAGTTTTGATCATCTTTTTTATTGTCTTTCTGGTCTCCATTTCATTTATTTATGCTTTAATCTTTATTATTTCTTTCCTTTTGCTAACTTTTGGCTTAGTTTGTTCTTTTTCTAGGTCCTTGTCATGCAAAGTTAGATTGTTTATTTAAGATCTTACATTTTTCTCAATGCAGGCATTTATTTCTCTGAACTTCCCTCTTAGAACTACTTTGCTACATCCCATAAGTTTCAGTAATTTGTGTTTTCATTTTTGTCTGCCTCAAGATTCTTTTAGAAGGAAATCAAAAGGGAAACTTTTGATTTCTTCTTTGATCATTGGTCACTTCTGATTTTAGTAATTTGAGTCTTCTCTCTTATTTTCGTAGTCTAACTGGCAGCTAAAAGTTTGTTAAATATTTTTTATTTTTTCAAAGAACCAACTTTGGGGTTCATTGATTTTCTCTATTGTTTTTCTATTCTCTATTTCATTTATCTGTCTAATCTTTACAATTTCCTTCCTTCTGCTATCTTTGGATTTAGTTTGTTCTTCTTTTTCTAGTTCCTTAAGTTGTAAAGTTAAGTTGTTGATTTGAGATCTTTCTGGTTTTTTTTTTGAGATCTTTCTTAATACGTCTATAAATTTCCACCTTAGCTCTTGCTTTCACTGTGCCCTACCTCCCTCTCCACTTTTCTCTTTCCCCTCTTTCTGGAGCCAGACAACTAGACAATAACTTCTCTATCTTTATGCTTTCAACTTTAATTCATTTTTTACTATTCTGGAACACTCTTTAGGTAATTTATTTAGGAAGGTTATCTTTATAGTGGTATTTTTGTTGTTATTGTTCTGTCTACTTGGTAATATATTCCCATTGACCGTGCTACTTAATTGGCATCTTCTCTAGGTAGAGAATGCTACCTCAAAACTCTCTAGATTGTGCTATGGTATTCTGACATGTAGGGTTGAGTAAGAGGTCATACTGGTTTACCCTTTCTCTATAACCATCCTACTTTTTTACATTTTGCTTTTAGCTTTAATTTAAAATTCTTACAAGTATTTGTCTGGAGGAATATCCATTTTCTTACTTTTTTTTGGACAATTTGAATCCTTTGAGTTCCTTAATAGTGTCCTTTTCAGTTCATATGTGGAAGTTTCTTTTCTTCTGAAAACAGTTTCTACTTGATGAATTTTGTGTTTTTCTCTCAAGTACGTCTCTTAATTTTAAGTTGCTGCTTTTTTTTTCAGGCCTCTATTTCAGGAAACTTCTTTTTGACCTATTTAATTTTTGGCTGCAGTAAGAATGAAATAAAAGTTGTAGTTTTTGTTTGCCTTCCTTGATTGTGCACCTCTCACAGGAGGACTATCTCTTGTCCCCAAAGTTCAGTGAAATCTTCTATTGTCTTTGTGGTGGAAATCAGTAAGAGGAGGCTACTCACTCCGAATCCAAATCCATAATAAATCATGCTTTTTCTTATCTTAACAAATCTTTAGAATTTTTTAATTCTATTTTTATAAGCAGAGATTTTTTTTTCTTTTTAATTATTTTATTTTCTAGGTTTTTTGAGGGAATTTCAAGAGGGGGAATTTTAGTCAGCCTCATCTTAATGTCATGTCTGGAACTCAAGCCACTGAATTATTTTTAAAAACATGTCTAGATCTAGGTCAGTGAATTCAAATGCAAGGAAAGGGTTAAATTTCTTCCACAAGTGTTGGCAAAATCTGTAGAAAAAAGAGGAACAGCCTTTATTAAAGAAAGTTACAGGATATACAGTCATTGAGGAAGAAGTCTTTCACAGGCGCAGAAGAGATTGCTCCTCCTTCCACTGTAAAGCTGATTCTTCAGATAAACAAGAGCCATTCCCAGACATTAGCACAGCACCAGACACAATCAGGATGGATCTCGGGTGGTGAGTGATCATTCTTATTATTTTCTGAAAGGCAATTAAGAGTTAAGTGACCTCAGCAGCAGGCTGAGGTTAAGGATGGGGCTCATCCTCTGTTTTCTGTTCTTGCTCAAGAATGCTAATAAGTTTTAAGAGCATAATGATGCACAAGCCAAAAGCACGAACACTTGGGATAATGAAGATCTATGTTGTGAAGAGTTAGACAAAGTCCCAAATTCTCACCTTCTGAGAGTATCTCCTTAGGTGGATCTTGTAGCTCCAAGGCAGGGGACCTTTTAAAGAAATTTCTACCAAAGACATTTAACTGCCACTCAAAGGCAAAAATTATTTGAGGTGCCACAAAGTTTACTGGTTGTTGGGTTTTTTTAAAGTGATTAATTTTAATTTTGTAAATTTGTTTTTTGAATATTTAAATGTTGCAGTTGTTGATGTTAAGAATCAGAAAAAATTTAAATGTCTGCATAAGTATTACATAGGCTAGAGAGGAAATTTTCCTTTGTAAGGAAAAGTAAGAGGAAGAAGAGGTGTTAGAAGAAAATGCAGAACCCAGAAAATGAGTCACAAACAGGCCATGAAAGATTCTGAACGGGATGAGGTAGTTAGAAAGAATTAGAGTACTAATTCAATTAACTCTCTGGTATTGAATGTACATGATGTATTCTGTATTTTATTCATGTTATTTCACTGAACTTTAATCTTCACAACGGCTCTCAGACAATAATATCATTCTGTTTTATAGATGAGGTAACTGTGACTTAAAAGAGCCTAAATAACTTGTTAAGGTCATATGGCTCATAAGGAATAGAACTAGAATCTTTCTTGCTGCTTTGCTCTGAACCACAAGGTTTCCTCCCATGTGGCACAGCCCCATGGCAGTGACTTACTGGAAGCAGTCACATCACCCTCCTGTTGGATGGTGGCAGCTGGGATCAGTCATTATTTATTACTGTTCTTTGAAAATCTAAGTAGCCCTCATCTACGCAGTACTTACTGGTTAGGGAAATAGCTTTGCTGATTTCATTTCAGAAGGTTAGAATTTAATTTCCCAGTAAAGAGTCTTTTTCCTTGCTCTAGAGTTTTGAAATATTACACATGTATGAAAAAATTTTAGAATTTATATTTTTTTGTGGAACTAGAAGTGATACTGTTTAGTTATGCTAATGCTGCCTGCAGACATCTGTAGAACCACAGGCCACTGTCTGTATTGTTTTTGTTAAGATTCTCTGTTACAGTGCCTGAAAATTGATAATAAACAAAATTTACAATATAAGTGACCAATAAATAATATTTAATCTCATCAGAAAGAAAAGAAGTGCTAATTAAAGCTGCAAAATATCATTTTTATTTATCAAAACAGATCTCTCTTTTTCTTTATTTATTTTGAGAGAGAGAGAGAGAGCACAAAGGTTGTAAGGTGCAGAAAGGAAGGGAAAAACAGAATCCCAAGCAGGCTCCATGCTGTCATCACGAAGCCCAGTGTAGGGCTCAGTCCCCCAAACTATGAGATCATAACTGCACCAAAATCAAGAGTCAGACATTTAACTGAATGAGCCACCCAGGCACCCCTGAATGGCAAGTTTCTTTTTAAGAAGTAACTAGCATAGAAGCAACAACCCTACATGTTTCTAAGAAAGGAGGAACATTTATACCTTATTACTAATATAATCTTTCTAGACAAAAATTTGGTGATACAAATCAAAAGCCCTTAAAATTTATATGCTCTTTAACCAAGATGTTCAAGTTTTAGAAATTTATTGTAGGGGCACCTGGTGGCTCAGTCAGTTAAACATTCGACTTCTGCTCAGGTCATGATCTCACAGTTCATGAGCTCGAGCCCTGTGTTGGGCTCTGTGCTGACAGCTCAGATCCTGGAGCCTACTTCAGATTCTTGTCTTCCTCTCTCTCTGACTCTCCCCTGCTCACACTCTGTCTCTTTCTCTTTCTCAAAAATGAATCAACTTAAAAAAAACTTTTTTAATAAAAAAATTTAAAAATGAAATTTATTGTAAAGACATAAACATATATGTTTGTAAAGTTTTTGTTAACATGAATATTTTTCTCATCATTGTGTCTAATAGTGAAAACCTTAGAAACAACTTAAATGTCTTGAAATATGTAATTGGTTAATTATGGAACATCCATAATGAAATACCATGAAATCATTAAAAATTCTATTGTAGAACAATTTTTAATGTGTTTTGCTAGAGAAAAAAACAGAATATACAGTGCTATGACTTTTATACATGATACCTGTATACACACAATGTAATCAGAAATACAGATGATTTTTATTTTCTACTTTGTGCTTCTGAACTTGGATCACATGTATAGGCGGAAAAATAAAACCAGATAATTAAAAAAAAGAAATCAATATGTGGCTTCTCTCAGAAAAGCAGACAGCTGTCTAGTACTATGAGTTCACATAATTTGTGGAATTCCATTTTTAGGGTTTTGGCCCTTTGTGTCTCACTTTTTTCTCTCTTGACTCTTCTTCAAAATATACTCACTAGATTCTAATGGGCCTGTTTTCATAGAAGTTCTATGTGGAAAGACCAGAGTGCTCATGTCCTTATTTTACATGCCATGTGATGGCATGGGTCTAGAGTGAGCAGCATATTGGGAGGAAGAACAAGACAGTGATTAAGTGACTATGCTTTGGAACCAGAGCATTGGGACTTGAATCCTAACTTCTCCTTTCTTGCTATGTGACCTTGGACAAGTTGCCTAAAAATTGCAATCCTTAGTTCCTTATTGTACAGTAGAGATAATTGTGATGATTGTCATAAGGTGTTTGTGAGAGATAACCCATGTAAAGTGCTTAGAACCTTGCTCTGATAAGTACTCAGTAATTATAATTAGTTGTTATTATTGTTATTGCTGTTAGAATTAAGAAATAGGGGGGAAGTGATTTGTCCAAGATTATGCAATTACTTGATGACAATGCTAGGACTAGAATTCAGGAAGTTTTTTTCCAATAGAAGTGTGTAACACCCTCTGAGTCTATTAAGACAACCCCAAGGTGGACTCACAGTGAAGCTGACCTGAAAAAGACAGAGCCCCAGGACAAAGCCGGCCACTATAGAGAGTGACTCTGATCACAATGGGAAGCCAAATGCTAGATAAGGAGGGAGAAGCTAAGAAAGCAGAGTCAGTTTAGGTGGAGGGAGCAGCCAGGAGCAGAGATAGGGCGAGATGGCTCAGAGATCTGCTGAGGCTTTTATAGACCTCTAACTGCGGGCTTCATGGGGAGTCAACATGGTTTAAAGACCCAATGTCTGAGTGGTTAAATAGACAAATGGGGTGTGTGGGGTGGGGAGGGACTGCAAATATAGCTGACAGATAGTAATAATAGAGGATGAGGTGAAAACTAGAAGGGGCCAGAACAAGGAGACCGAGAATCCAGGCATCCAGCCATGATTATCCTAAAATTATAGCCCAAGTTTGAAAATTAATAAACAAGCAAATATATGATAACATCTGCTTTAAAAAAAAAATACCTTGGTCAGTAGAGTGCAGAACTGATCTGGGCTAACAAGGAGATTATTTTGGAAACTATTAGAATAATCCAAGAAGACGTGTTGAGGACCTGAAATCAGTGCAGTTATGGTGGGATCAGAGAGGAGAGGATGCATTTAGAAGATGTTTAAGTACAAGAAATGACAGGATTTGGTTTCTGAAAGATGTGGAGCTTGGAAGAAGAGATCTAAGTACACAGTGGCATCTCTCATAAAATAGGGGATATAGAAAGTGGATTGGGTTTGAGCCAGGGAAAAGAGAGGACTAATGGTGATTTCATTTTTGAGCATGCTGAATTTGAGATCCTATGGAGCGCTGGATGGTGATGCCTAAGTAGAGAAGTGAATATACATGTACAAAGCTCAAGAAAGAGATATGAGAGGGCACCTGGGTGGCTCAGTTGGTTAAACATCCTACTTTGGCTCGGGTCATGATCTCAGTCCGTGGGTTCGAGCGCCGCATCAGGCTCTGTGCTGACAGCCCAGAGCCTGGAGCCTACTTTGGATTCTGTATCTCCCTCTCTCTCTGTTCCTCCCCCATTCATGCTCTGTCTCTCTCTGTCTCTCAAAAATAAATAAAAGTTAAAAAATAAAAAAAAAAGATATATGGGATTGGAATAGATTCAGCATAGCTGCAATTCTCATTGTGAGTGAGATCACTAGGGAGAGAGGATGATGGAGTGAGAAAAGCCAGGGATAGAATCTGGAAAACCATGACATTTAAGGGGAGAGATGGAGAGTCCAAAATAGACACATCAAGGAGGGACTAGAGAGATTGAAGCAAAGTAGGAGAAAAGTGATGTCCTCTAGAAACCAAGGGAGGAGATAGATGAAAGAAAGAACAGAACGTGCCCAGGGAAAGACAAAGCATATTTACCAAACTTCTACATAGAACACATGAGATACAACAGAAAAAGCAAGTCTAAGGGCTGAATTGTGTCCCCTCAAAACTGATATGCTGATGTCTTAACCCCAGTAGCTCAGCATGTGACATTTGGAGAGAAGGTCTTTACAGTGATAATCAAGTTAAAATGAAGTCATTAGGGGAGACCCTAATCCAAGATGATTGGTGTGCTGATACAGAAGAGAAAATGTAGACAGAGAAATATGCATAGAGAGAAGAGGATATGAAGAGATATGGAGAAGACAATTTAAAAGCCAAGGAGAGACACCTGGAACAGACTTGTCTTTCACAGCCCTCAGAAGGAAGCAGTGCTGCTGACACCTTCATTTAAGTCTTCTGGCTGCCAGAACAGTTAGACAACAAACCTCTGTTGTTTAAGCCACAATTTGTGGTACTTTGTTATTACAACGCTATCAAACTTACACACTTGGTAAGTGTGCATAATACCTTGGTGAGAAGAGTGCATACAACCAGAGAAAGAAACTGGACATAAGTGTATGGGGGGGTGGAGGAGGAAAAAGGATTATGTCACCTGAGCTAAGAGAAGGAAAATACTTCACAAAGCAGAGGGTAGTCATGGTGTC